CTTATTTCTTAAGCAAAATCAGTTAAGAACAAACTTACATGTTACAAAACATTTTTTTCATCTTAAAGTTTAAGACTGTAATAAAAATGGATTATGTATTTAATTGTATGTACAGATATAAAGGAAATTTTTTTTTATTGCTTGAGGAAGATGTAATGAATCACTGTAAACGTCTCACCCGGGAAGAGACTTAAATACACCTAAAACTTGAAAGCAAAGCTATCTATGAAGGAAGCAATCAGGTTTCTGAAAGATGGTGGGAGAACATAATAACACAGGAACAGGATGTAGCTAAAGAATTAAAGTTCATCTCCTTGCAGTTGTGGGTGAGAGGTAAGATGCCAGAAATGGAAACAAAGTTTCCTGATTATACTAAAAAATTAATGGAATTTGCAGTGAATAAGCTAATGTTTATCAGGCCTATTTTTCTTATTTAATCTGTTTAATCACCGAGTATGTTTAAAAAAAAAAAACCAAAAAACCTTTGTCAGATGTATTTTCCTCACCCTGTAAATTGCTTTTCTGAAACTTGGTTGCTTGACTTCTTACATTTCACTGTGCTTTGATTATTTCTTGTYCATGATTTTTTTTCATTTTCTTTAGGAGAAAAGAAATTGTCAGCAGCTATAAAGCCTCTTTAGTGTTTGCTTTCTGCTCTAGCGTTTTTGTGTCCACACCAACAGCATCATTTTGGAGAACCTTCACTGAGGTTTGAGCTGTCCGCTTGAATCTTGAACACCTGCCCTCAGGGCTGTTACTGCTGAAAAATTTGTCCTCTAACTGARTGATTTTTAAATGGGGATTTCAATTCTCAGCACAAAGCTAAAGAAGATGCTCAAGAGAGCAAGAGGGCTTCTTCATGGTGATTTGTGTTAGCTAACTAGGTAGGAGCSAAGTACAAACTTGTGCAGTTCTCATCCAGGATGAGCCACCTGCAGAAAAACGTTTGTTGTAGATACATATGTTTGTACTAACAATAACTAAAATAACAATATTGTTATTGAATAACATTAACAAGACAAAAGCTGCCTTGATTAAACTATTCTGTTCTCCACAATGTTAGATGAATTTGTTCTCTGTGATTTTCTACAWGCTTTTTGTGCCCATTAGGGAAATTAATTTCACTGTTGTAGCCACCTGTGCTTATTAAATAGAGAACCTCTATTTGTTTCTTTAGTCCTTTTGGGAAAACGGACTCATTCTAGATTAGGTGTGTCGTTTGGTGGCCTAAACTTTAAGGAATGCAAGAGCAGACTTCAATGTCTGAATTGCAGCAGTCAAGCTAGAACAGAACTAGGGGACAGACCCAGAACAGTGGTAATGAACGTATTGCTGAGCAGTTGACAAATCATTCTGGGGTCAACATGAGAGATTTGCATCAGTTTCACTATTGAAATAAGGTTGAACCAGTTAAGATGACTCACTGTTAGGCAGGATATGCATTTTTTTATTTTACTTACATTCTGTTAGAATCAATTCAAGCTGAGTTCAAGCTTCTCTGACTGTAATGAACATTCACATCTAGGTTTATACYGATTACTAAACTGATTTTGAAAGTGAATTGATAATCTGAACCCTCTTGTTCATGTGGGTGTGGACTGAGCTGCATGTTTGTTAATTCTCAATTTCCATAAAAATTCTAAGACTTTGTATAGCTCTACTTGGTGTAATGACTCAGAATTTGAAGCATTACTTGTTGAATAGAAATAGTAAGAAAAAAATACTTTTCAAAATTAAGGTTTTGGTAAACATTTGTCCTAGTTCTTTTTTTTTGTTGTTGTTCCCATTGTATGAAATCCATTCTTTGATGGAATTATAATTCTTTAAAGCTTTTTTTTCACAACAGGATGTCCAGTTCGTGTCTCTGAGGATAGCTGGCTCTGTGCTTCTTCTGTACACTGTTATAAAATTAACCTTTGACTTCAGGTTCACAACCAGCTAAGCAACCGCTAGAGTGTTTCACTGGCTCAGTTTCCATTTAAATACTTTTTACTACTTGTGCCTAGAAAGGGAACTGTGAATGTAGGGAAGGTGGTGTTGCAAACTTTGCAACTCTGAATTGAAATGACTGAGGTGTGGATGTGAGTTTAATCTTCATAGAATGCTGTCTCTGAAAGATAATGATTTAATATGTGTGTTTATACTTTTAAATTTAATCTTTGTACTTGTAGCTAATCTATTTAGTTACCTATTTCCTTGTTTCATCATTGTGCCCTCTCACTGACCAACAAGCTTGTAAAAGTGAGTTCTTTGAATCTAGTACCATTCCCACATCCCCATGTTCTGCAGAGTTCGGGAGTAAGGACTTTCTAGTTTAACTTGTTTTCGTCTTTGGTCAGGATTTCCAGAAGAATAAGACTTCCTTTTTCTTTTTTGGCAGCCTAAACATTGTGATAAGATAGAGGTATAGCTGTCTTAGACTTCATAATGTGTTTGCAAATTAGTGGTTTCAGTTGGCTCACCCCCATAAATAATGTAGCCCATCTGCCGTGTAGCGCTACTAGAAGGCAATTGTTGAAATTAATCGTGTATTTTCCAGTTATTTTTCTAGTGGCTGCTGTGCTGTGTGGTTTGGAGGATGGACTGGGAAGGGGCAGGACACAGGGGCTGTCACGTACTCATTTCTAAACTGTCAGCAGAGACCGTGGTGCGAGTTTGGGGGGAAAAATGTGTGGAGGAGGAAGGAAAGAAGATGGAGGGAGAGAAGGAAAATAAATCTGAAGAAATAAGAAATAGAGCCAAAGGAGTTTACACATAGTGTTGGCATTGCCATCCTTAAAGAGTCAGAGCTATGAAATCTGTTTTAGCCTCATTTTTACCTGTTGAACTTACCCAGAAGGGAGAAATTAAATAAATTTTAGGAGGAAGCTTTCACCTTATTTGAGTCAATGCTTCAGTGCATGAGGCAACTTCTACTTAGGTGGGATTAAATTCTATTTATCCTAATCCTACTCTTCCAATTAAGGAAGTCCTTATTCATTAACTGTTCTCAGCTATATCTACCTTTTCCTACCTCTGTCTGCTCAATGACTTGGATTTTTTTTCATTTTTTGAAGAGACATGGTTTCTTGCCAAGGCAGTATTAGATTTCTTAAAGAAACTGATTAACAGCTGTTTTTCAGAATTTTTGTTTGTAGAAAAAGGCAAAAATCTTTAATATCAGCAGATACAGTTGAGAAAAAAATGGCCCAAATTTTCACCACAGAATCTTATGTATTGGAGATAATTGCTCAGAGGATATCTCAGTGCAACCTTCCAATTCTTACATAGAAAATATATTTTAAAAATGTAGAGGAAAGCTATGCTGGATCACTGTAGCTTGTCACTAGTACAGGCTATTTATACAGAGTAAATGTAATATCAAAATACTTAAGCATTCTGTTAYCTTCTATCTGTATTTTTAGGGAATCCTACTAGAAAAAAAGCAAATGCTTTTAAATAGCATCTCTGGTGCATGTACTGAAAAAAAAAAAAACCAAACCCAGAATGCTTCACATAAAAGTTAGTCTTACAGACTATTCCATTACTGGCAGCTCGGTCTGTAAATAATCCAATTTTGGACCAATTCCAAAACAAGAGCAAAAGGGGAAAGGTATTGTTGGATGGAGTAAAGAAATGGGATGGGGATTTTCACCTTGGGGATTATTTTCTGGAAATAGCGGATGTCCTTCCATTAAGCCAAAACATAACATGTTCAAACATCTGTTTACCTGCATGTGGAAACACCTTATTTCAAGGTCTCGGGCTGCTGAAATGTTGTATTCAACAATTCAGCTCCAAATAATGTTTTGTAAGGCTTGCTTGTAGACAGTGGGAGGTAAGTCTCCTAATTCAGGAGAGGAGGTAGGTGACAAACCAGGTTGTGTGGGAGCCTTTCACCGGGTGCTGTTAAACAGGAGCAGGGAGGAGGACAACAGAACATGTCAGCAAGAATGGAAGGGAAGAGGCTGCACAACGTCATCCCCTTCGCTCCTCTTAAAGTTTTTCAAAATGCCTCTGTGATGAAGATCTGCTGCAGTCTGCTCTCTTAATTTCCTGCTTTGGCTTGCTCCCTCTCTCTCTCCATAGGTCAGGTACAAATGTATTGTTTTTTTGTCTTCAAAACTCTTTAGGTTAGTTCTACCATGCCTGTTTGTTCTAGGTTCATTTCTGTTTCTCTTTTTTTCCCCACCAACAAGACCAACTTCCGTTGCCTGCTTATGAACCTTTTCTACAGGCTTTCCCCCAAATCTGCCCTCTGCAAATACTAAAAAAAGGAAAAAAAATAAAATCAGAATTTATGRAATCACTGACCATTCAAGTTCATTGTTAGGTGTCACCTTAGGTTATGTGCTATGGGAAAATTGCCATCTGCTTGTTAGGTTATGGGAGGTGATTGTGACAGGTGGCTACAGAGGGCATACAGATCAGGTACAAACTGTATTTATTTGGTATCCCAGTTTTTATTTCCTTGCCAGTGCAGCAGCTTTTCTTTTTGTTCTACCTGTGTGCCTTGTTTTCTAGAGAGCAAGTGCTGTGGGATGGAGCTGTCATGCAGTATGTTCCTCCTGTTGGACATTACAGTCCTGTATGGTTTATTATTTATTTTTATTTTAACACGAGTGATTTATAACAAAAGATGCTTTTTCCTGGGCATGAATTTTACCTAATCTGTATGTTTTAAGGAGACTATTCACTGACTCCCACAAAACACATGCGAGAAATTTAAGTTTCAAGGGGAATCGTCAGTCGCTAATGAGAAGAAATGAAGGAAACTTCATTAAAAAAGTTATGTTGGGGATAAAAATGTTAATCTGCCATGTCTTTGGTTTAGTTTTTATATTTTAGATGAATGGTGTGTTAACTTAGCTTTTCATGTTATTTCTAGATTACCCTAGTTTTTAACCTTTTGCTAGTCACCTTAAAATAACCTAATTTGAAAGATTTCTAGAATAATYGTAAGCATGGATCGTTACAGGAAAGTTTGAATCATGATTTGAATTCTTCTGTTGTTTCTGCAGGGCTTCAAGAGTATGTTGAGGCAGTCTCATTTCAGTATTTTATCAAAACACGGTCTTTAATTAGTGTTGAAGAGATCAACAAGCAACTAATATTTACAGCAGAAGACAGAGAAGAAATAACAAACAAGGTGAAAGCTTTTTTTCTTCATATGAGAGGAGACTTGCACAAGTCTCTGCAGTTACTTGGCTTAGTTGCATCTTTTTTGGCATTATCAGTAGATAGGTTCAGTTAGAGGAATGGGGTTAAATGTACATGAACACTTCAGCTCACTTGTTGCTTTTTATTCTGACAAGTAGTAACCTAAATCTGTGGGACAGAAATTTTAATCGTTCAACAGCTTGTTTGTTTGTTTGYTTTATTCAGGACAAACTGAGCCCCTCCTGGTAGGCAGAAAGAGCTAAGATGGTAAAATACTAACAAACAAATGTAGAGGCAAGGGCTTTTTATGGCTGTGATTGTGTCCCCAAGTCTGCTGGGGAGCAGTGGAAACAAATGCAGGAGTTGRACTCTGTGGAAATCTTATTGCTCAGTGACAAGCCTATCACAGGAGGCGTTAGCAAAGCGCAAAGTATACTCAGATGCTATTAAAATGCATTATCTGTGCCTYAGCTCGGAATTTTGACTCTTCCCTGGAGCTGATCTTGAGGTTTCCTGTCAGAGGACAGGCTGTGTTCCACCTCAGTAATCCTAGATCCGCTGTTTATGACCCGCCTACRCTCCTGTCCTGCTCTAAATCAACCTTTTTTTAACTGAACAAACTACTACCACTGATCACAGTTCAGTGGATAGTTTGTCTGAAGAGGGAATTCTGCGGAAGAGCCCAGTGTTACTGCTTTAGATGAATCGCAGAGTGCTGCCATTAAAGGGTTTCTATTGTAAAGTCCTTTTTTCATACTCTTTGTAAGATATTTGCAGGCAAAACCAAGTTTTCAGCTGAATCTCCCTTGTTCTCACCAAGAGCAAAGCCATTGCAATGCACTTGTTTCCACAGACTGTGAAGTTGTTAAACTGCTCCCCCACAACTCCGACTAGATTTAAGCCAAATTTAGGTGCGAGTGTGTTGTGGGAACAAGTGAACGGAAACAAACTTGTGTTGTCTCAGTATTTTGGAATAACAGTGTGGGAAATCAGGATATAGGAGCTTTTGCAACTTTGTGACAAGTCTTCTTCAAGAAGTGCTCGCTTAGGTATTTAATAAATAGAGTTGATATAAAACAAGTGTGAGAAAAATACATTTATTCTATCAGCCATCCTGTAGAAATTCTGTTTGCAAACAGATTTGCTAGGCAGGGCRGGTTCCTTATGCCTCACATCTCAAGTGAGACGATGCCTTTGTACTTCACGGAATGCTTGCAGGGAGAGTACTCTTGAAAATCAAACCATGTGGAAGTGCCATGGAATTTATTTTTCCGGAATGTTTGCAATAACCGATTGCTTTGCGGTTACATGAGGTAACGCTGTATGTATCTGAATTGCCACGGACCACTTTTTCCTAGTTTTCTGTACTGAGTTTTGTCCTGTTCTGTCTTCAGACTTCTGATTCCCAGGATAAGCAGCCGGCCACCTGGAGCCTGAAGGTGACACCCGTGGATTACCTGCTGGGAGTGGCCGACCTCACCGGGGAGCTGATGCGCCTCTGCATCAGCAGCGTTGGCAATGGGGACATAGACACACCTTTTGAACTGAGCCAGTTCTTACGCCAAATTTACGATGGTTTTACCTTTATTGGCAACACTGGACCTTAYGAAGTGTCTAAGAAGCTCTATACCCTGAAGCAGAGCCTGGCCAAAGTCGAGAATGCCTGCTACACGCTGAAAGTGCGGGGCTCCGAAATCCCAAAGCACATGCTGGCTGACGTGTTCTCCACCAAAACCGAACTGATTGACCAAGAGGAAGGGCTATCCTAAAATAAGGAGACTTGCAGCCCCTGAGAGAAGTGGACTTAGAGAGGAGAAAGCTTGTTAGGGTTTGAGTTTGACCCTTCTCAAAGCTTTTTAGGTAGAGATGTTAGTTTTATTTTCGAGAAGATTGTTTGCAATCGTAATTTGTAACCAAAAATACTTTTTTATGATGTGCAGGAGAACAAATGTTTGACTTTGTGCTCTCAGCGTGGAATTTCCTGTATTGCTCCATTGTGTCTCCTTTCAGAACGACCAAATGTTCCACTGTGCTCCACACCGGTGACCGTCGACTGTGCGAGTCACCTCCGACTGTTGTGGTTCCTATGACCAGTTTTCAGCCAGCACGRCAGGGTGAAGATGGTTAGGTGCTGTGATTCAGCATTACCCATGGGCTTATGCTGAGCACTGCTTTCTGAGTGCTTAGTTTCTGTATTCATGTCATGTAAATCAGTGCACCCTCTTGTACAAGGTGTGTATAAATTCCTACCTTGGTCTGAAACTGAGGTGGTGCCAAAGGTGCAGTGTAATATAAGTTTTGTCTGTTTAATGCTTTTGGCATGAAACTGAAGCTGGGTCAGTTTTTCACCGGTTGATAGTAAAGCTAAATACACCAAGAAAATATTACTGGGCACTCATCATTTTAGCCCTTGGTTCAAATTTTGCTCTCTAATTACACTGGTGCTTTACAATTTTGATATTGGTTAGAAAACACTGTAAAAAATATTTTTTTTTCTTTTAATTATTTTTTTGCAACACATTATAATGCTGAATCTGCTACCATTCTGTTCCTAGCCAGAAGTGAATGACCTGCCAAATATGCTGGACGTGGATAATTCAGCAGCAGGGCAGGCTGTGGCATGTGCTGGGGACAGCTTGCAGCTCTGCTGTCCTCTGTGTTTTGTGTTGTCCTGAGGACCTCCAGTGGGAGGGAACTGTTGGATAAGAGGGCTGGCTTTAAATATCTGCTAGCGAGAGCTGCGTCACGCGTGCGTTCCTATGGAAAGGAAATTGCAAACAGAAACAAGGCAGACACTCTGACTTCCACATTTATCTTTGAGGTGGGTATGTCACTACTGGCAAAAAATCGGCATTTTCTGCCGGTGTCTGAAGTTATGAAAGTCTGATAGGGTATGTTATGCTAAAGGAAAACAGATAAATAACATGATCTTTAGACTCCAGGAAATAGGCCTCCCATCTGCAATTGAAAATACTGCATGTTTTTTATTTCCACTTCCATATGCTGTGATACTGCCAATATTTTTCCCATGAGCGTGTCAAAAGTAACTTGGATCATTTGATATATGGACAAGAGACGGAGCAAATATATCTTATGTTTCTCCATTGTTTCCATATATAGCAATATGTGTGGTGAGTTGAAAAGGTGCATTTTTCCAAATGTTTAATACTTTTTTTTACAATAAATGTTGAAAAGCAATCACTCAGTGTATGTTGGTTCTTTTGCTTATTGGTCCTAATGGCAAGTAAGAGTACAGGATTGCCTCTTACGTGTGGCACTAGATTTGGGAGTTTCACACCATTCCTGCAATCCTGCTTGCAGGGGCACCATCTCATCCTGAATCTCTTTTCTTTCTCACTAGTTCAATTCAGTGAAGCCTGAAAACTAGTTAGGATTCAAACTACATGTGATCCTCTTGAATTCCAAAAATGCAAAGGATTCAAATAACAAACCAAGGTTCTCACTGCAATAAATCTGCAACAGTGCATATACTTTTAAATTGCTCCTTGTTTTTTCTTTTTTTTTCTTTTTTTCTTGATGGGWTGAGGCGACAGCAGGACAGCCCTATGCCTTGGTGTAGCTCAATTACTGTGAGTAACTGTATGCAAGGTGTATGTGTGTGAAGCAAAAGTGGATAGTTATGGGAGGCATTTTGTGATATCAAACAGAGACTGGGGCTTCTAGGAGCTCTCAGGTGAAAGCTAAAATATTCATGGCACAATTTAGAAAGGGTTGGGGTCAACCCCGAGGGCCAGCAGTGCCTGGCAGCAGGACCTGGCGCCTCCCTGTGTGGCACTGGCCATGGACATGCACACACAGAGGCCACCACTGCAGTCAAGCAGCCACTGCGTCTGGGCAGTCACTGCTTTATAAGTTACAGGTGAATGAAAGAACTTTTTAGTGATCTATATATGTTAACTTTCTTTCCAAAAATACTAGCTCTACCGCTTAAATATATTTTTATAAACTTAAATATATTTTTAAAATACATGTTTTGGYAAAGCTAGAGAAAACTTTGATGATGGGATGTGATTTCTGACTTCAGGCTGGCTGTCTCTAATCAAAGCTGTGAATATTTTCTGAGAGAGAGCAAAGTGTATGTGTGGTGTATTAAAACACCAGCACAGATGGGAAATAGCTAATGGTCTGCAAACCTCCTGCTCAAGGAAATATTTTCCCCAAAAAACAATTACACTGGAGCTATTTGAAAAGTGACAGACATTTATCAGCAAAACAAGCTGCTAAACAAGCAATGGCACTTTTCCCATTTCTTATCCCATTACTCTGTGGAGCTATTGATGTGCTTGGTCCATAGCCAGACCCGGCCGACGTCATAGCAGATGTTTCACGAGGGCAGCTTTGCGTGCTAAAAATCATCTGCCTCTCGAAAATCCCCTTTCTCAGAAACGATTTTTCTTTGTGTTCACTTTTGTCCTGACTATTGTGATTTGCGATGAGGAAAATAAGCGCAGCCACATTCAGCCTTCCACCACGGCCAGAGAAGTTATGCAAGAGAAACTTCCTGTTGACGGGACATGTATGTCTGTCCGCTTCTAGTCCTGCCTCTTTGGATTTTCATAGAGTTTAGCACAACTCAAACATATAGGATTTAAACTAAGATACAGGATCCTAAGATAGGATTATGAACGAATAGGTAGGATAGTGGGAGCTGTAGGGAATTCTGGGGACCAGTTTCTGGCACTGTCCCAAAGTGCTTATAATTTAAGGTTAGACAGAGGCGTAATCGTCATGACCACAAAGGAGGTGGTAGAAGGGAGGACAGGATTTTTACGAGACTCCATGAGTTAGTAGTCTGGTTTATCACTTCCCATCTTGGAGAGGAGACATTTCTAAAGTTTGGAAAGTTTTGGCATGACCGTAAAGGGTCAGCTGGGAAGGGAAAAGGCAGTAGAGAGGGGAAATGGAAGGAAGTGAGTGGAGACAGACAAAGGGGGGAAGAGGGGTGAGCAGTGGGGCAGCGCTGAGGAAGAGTGGGGTGCATAGCAGGTCGGAGTGCATGTGTGAGCAAGGAGGGGCTGGGGAGGATGCAAGGGACAGGAACACCAATCTGCACGAATCTGGAAACGCCGCTTAAAGTCCAGGTGACTCTGCCGAAAGAGAAACCTGGGCATGACTGCAAGTGCTGACTTCAAAAGACAAGGCCCCAAAGGATGTGATCATCACTGCATCATGAATAAGGGGAATTTGACCTGCCTGAGCTGCTGAGAGCTGGCAGGTCCTGCAGTGAGCAGAGCGTGCAGGATTCAGCCATGCTCTCACAAATGAACCACCAGTTCTTCATTCCCACCAAAACACCAGCTCGTTGGTCCCACACTGCCCAATTTGCCATGCGTGATCCCTTCACTCCCACATTGGTAGCCACAGTCTTTAAGGCATGAACCACCAGCACTTGCAGGCATTAGAAATATTGTTAGATATATCCTTTAACATAAAGAATGCTTACGGTGAGCACTGTTTTCCCCTTTTGTGCTGTTTACGTGTCCGCTTCGCTGTCATTGCTGCTTCTGCCCCATTTCTGTTTCTTCTTTACTCATCTTTTCTCTAAGCTGTACCATTCTTTGGAGGCATTGCAAGTGACCATCCCATGGTTCAGTCTTTTCCTTGTCTTGGGGTAAGATGCAAGAGGAGGAATCTGTTGGTGCCTTAGGATAGGTTTGATTGCTCCTCCAAATTTGGAAATTGTGCTCTGGCTGCGAGGGGGAAGTCTTGCATTGCTGCATCCACAMGGCCTGGTGCAGTGTCCTACCACAGCTATGGAATCACGTGTCAGCATGGATGGGTGGGCAGGTCTCGTGTTGCTTATGCAGGTAAGCAAGCCTTGGTTAYTCTGTTTGCAGCCATCCAGCCAAGRTAAACTCTCTACAGACATAAATGACATTTCTTCTCCAGCCTGAGGAAGGTTGTCTTGGAGGAATATTATTTCCCACCAGTTCCACCTCTTTTCACCTGGCTCATTTTCCCTTTGGAAGGGCTGTTTGCAGGCTTGAGGAGGGAGCCTTGCCTAGGACTCCTCCTGGAGCCAGGCAGTGCCTCCCGGAACACTGGACAAATGTGATGTGCTGGCTCCGTTCTCAGCTCCTCCCATAGGCAGGGCAGGCCCATTCTCGTGCTCCTGCCACTGCCTCCTCCTGCCTTCCTGGGGCCGAACACTGAGCTGCTTCTGTTGGGTCTCCKAGACCAGTGACATGCGGGTTCATCTCCTATTTTTTCCCCTCTGTACTGTTGTCCCTTTCATACGCACGTTCACTCCTCCCGAGGAAAGAGGTTGCTGCTGTGCAGGCTCTGTTGCCATAACAGGCCACAAGACCTACTGAGCCCACCACCAAACACTGTCTGGGGAATACTGGCRCAGGGCAGGTTTCATGGGAGACCATCCACCTCTGGGCCTTTCTCCCATATGTCTGTGCTTTCCTGTGGGCTTGTGATTCCCAAATAACCCAGCAGGATCCTACCATTTCTGTTTAATTCTTCCTCAAGGCCATCTCCTCTCATGCCTCCAGAACAAACTACTGACAGAACTGGTTATGTACCTAGAAATAGCTCGAGTTTTCCTGAAACAGAGCGTTTGGGGCAGTAACCTGCCCGGTGAAGGATGCGGTAGGCAGTGGTGGGAGTCTTGCTGTCACAGCGATGTTGTCGAGCACCCACAGGGCTGCTTTAGAAAGAGGCCTGTGTCTCCCCRTGCAGTGAGGACCACAGGTGGGTATGTTTTGCCTGAAGGTGAAGATGACAAGGAGGAGAGGAGAGGTGAAAATGAGTGAGAAAGCGGTGCCAGATCATATAGCAGATCAGTCACCAAGCAGGCTATTAGACTCAAGTCTTTCACCTCCCAGCCTGGCCTACATTGCTTCTAATCTGAGCTCCTCCTGCACACCGCGCCAGCCACACGGGAAGCTGCTCTGATCCTTTCATAGGACTCGGCCGTGGAGGTCACTCACACAGGCTTTTCTGTGGTGTGAAATGTGCGCGGGCGACATCCAGGAGGCTGGTAGCAGTGCCAGGAACACTGATGCTGAGCTTCAGGCCAACTTGAACAAAATTCCGTTGTGTGTTATTTTCTTGCTGTAACCCGTCTTTATAATAATTGCCTTGTTTATTAAGCTGTGTCTGTATTTGCACTTAGATGAATACGAGTGCCAGTAGCCCCCAACCCYGGTCAACATTTTACCTCCTCATGGACAAACCCTGGGCATGGGAATAACAGGGAGCAGGCAGGGCTGGCCAGAGCCAGATGACAACACCCTGTGACAGAAGACTGTACAWCCCCCCAGCCCCAGTACACCCATGATGGCTCTCAGGTTATATGCTGTTCAAACAGGCCTGCATCCTCTTTAACACACATTGCTTTACAGGAGCTGAGGTAAATAGCTAGCAAATATTTTAGGTTCTATTTCTTATTTTRTGTGATTGTAGCTTTTGTTTATCCCTATTTCTTACTTTTAGGCAGGAAATCTAGGAAGGCAGCGGGTGCTTTTGAAGGCTCCATCCTTTTGATTTGCAGTTGGATGGTTCTTAAATCACTTGACCGTGTCTGAGATTTTCATCTGCATATGAAGACTATTATTCTGTATTAAAAGTGAGAGTTTGCCTGGATCCTATTTTWCAAAATGTGTTATATGAGAAAAGGGGAGGCCACTTATGCTGGGAGGCTTGAGTTTATGACTAGCTAAATAATAGGCAGCCCTCATGGTAAAGAAGAAAAAAGGTTTAAAGCTACTCTCAGCAGGGCTTGTACTCTGCAGGAACTGAACAAGAGAAATAGAAAACTTATAAACCTTTAAGCCTTCAATTTTTTTWAAGTTTTAAAACTTCAATGTTTTTTAAGCATATATTATTTTGGCTATTGCTTTTCTGTGTATACTGGCTGCCTTACTAACAAGAGGCACTAGTGACTTACTGGAGAAAATATA